TGAATCCGCTGTCAGGCAGTTCAAATTAGTGCTAAAGGATCACAGAAGGGCGATTACTAATGCCAGTAAGTAATTCCCCTTCCCCATTTCCTCCTTTCTAGTGCCTTTACCAAGGCTTTATCAGTTGGATACCACCCGTGGCTGACAGCCTTTCAGTCGCTAGAGTTTCCATCTTGTTCCAAAGGTTTCCAATCTTCATGAGATGGAGATCTTTCTTGACAATGTCACACCATGAACATGGCGTTGTTCCAGAGTGTGACAAAAAGCCAGCCACTTTTTGAGTGGCAACCACATTGCCAAGCAGTGCACCAAGCTTAGATGTTACAGGGCAGCCTTTGGGGAATTGATGGGTTGGGATGACTTGATATTTCTCGGGTTTGAGTAGTTCTTCCACAAGTTGAATGGTGATCATGTCAGGTTGGTTTGGGGCTGGGATGATTCCGGCGACGTACGTATATTTATCTTTATTTTGTGATGATGGAGGAATGTTCAGGCAGATGGCAAGTACTCCAAGGGATACTTGCTTACCGGCCATCTTATTTCCGAGTGGGTTAAACCAGTCCACAAAGATAGTGAAATATAGGTCCAGCGGAGATCCTTTTGGGGTGGAGTGGTTGCTGACAGAGGCTAGTTTGTATGACTTGAGTTCTGGATCTAGCTTCAGGTGCTTTGTTATGGTTTGTACATCCACTGGAACCTTGGTTTCCATTTCAACATTAGGTGGGAGTTTCCAACACTGATGAATGAGATATGTTATATAGGTGACCACCTTGCAACACTGGGCTTGGCTGAGTCCACAAAATAGATATAGCCAAGCAACAAGATACATGACATAAACTGTAATCTCAGCAGCAGGGTAAGTTTGGAATAAATAAAGTAGGGAATATCTTGACACACAATAGGTTATTCCAATTGGCTTATATTCAACATCATCTGGATGAGGTGCTGGTTTAGGGTTGTGTTTTGTTTTTTTCGTCATAACCACACGTGTTGGTGAGGGCTGAGGGTTGGCTTTGAGCATGTCCAGGAACTCCTGGAGGGCAAGGTTGATGAAGGATTTTGCAAGGTCCGCACAGCTGTTCTGGCTGGCCTCCGACAGGTGTTTACTCCAAGTCCTTGGATGCACATATAAGCCATGATAGGTGATCTTGTCTTTGATAAAAGTATTCTTGCCGCATTTGTGACAAGCGCCAAGTACTTTGCTGTTTGGCTGTTCCATGTCCAGAGATTAGCCTACAGTAGCAAATGAAGGAATTGGTGAGTGATTGAGAGTTCAAGTTAATGAATTGGATGACTTATAGGGAGGAAAGGAGTGATTCATATGTTGAGTGGTGTTATGAGGGGTTGTCAGCTGTCATGTGTATGGTGCACATAGCCTGCCCATGAGCCTGCGCGGGTGTGCAGCTGAGGTTTCTGGCAGCCGCGCAAGCTTTGCGGGAAAAAAAATGGGTGCGGCTGCGGAGAAAACCTCACCTCTTGGGGCGAGGTGTAAGCCGCACCAAGCGGTCGCATAAGCAAAGAATGCAGGGCGGGATTCCCCAGCCGCGACAAGTTACACTGACCACGGGACTCGAACCCGCAGCCTTCTCCTCGACACCGTGGGCCTGGGGTAGGAGGGAGACGATCTACCATTGATCTAAGCCAGCGACTGAAGATCATACAAAAACGAAAACCTCAATCCACAGTACTGTCAGACTGGAAAATCACTTGAATTTTTTCCAAGATTCGGTCTGCCTACCTGCCGTTAAAATGCATTTTTTTTCCAATTGACCCACATTTTTACAGTTGGATTTTGGTCCAACCCCCGTGAGAAACAAAAATAAAAAAATAAAAATCATAAACCTTGTCGCTGACAGAGAAATGGGTTGATTCCAGCTCAACACAACAACATTAATGGAAACAAATCTCATCTCAACAGACCAGACAAAATGGGCGTGTTTTTTCGCATTAAATCATCATAAACCAACAAATGAAACGGTAGCAAGTAAATAATACTCAGGAGAAATCCAATCATCAACACATCAAACATCATACACAAGACGCACAGAAGAATATTGGTATGTCAAGATCTCACATTATTTTTACTGGGCTATTTCCTGACATCCATATATATTTATTTTTCCCCTGAGGGTTGTTGCTAATGTAAGTGTCGAGTAGCAGAGGCCAATGGCTCTGGATGAGCTTCCTCTCGGGTGTTACCCATGTCCCAGTGGAGGAATTGAACATGAACTTCTTGGGGGGAGCATCATTGATCTTTTGAATGTGAGGCAGTTTGTTTCATGCTTCGAGCGGCGGGAAAGGAAAACTGGGGCGGTCGGAAGGTGGGAAAGTGGATTGGTGGCGATCTGAAAGAAGAAATGCGACCAGATTTGAGTTTGTTGAGGAATCTGTAGATGTAGTCTTTGGCAGCATCGAGCATCGATAAGTATCGAGGTCTGGCTGGGGTAGGAGAAGCGCTCAAGACCTCAGCGGTTCTTTGGAGAAGAAGGGGGATGCGATATTGGGTGAGACCGTTGAGGGAAGCCTCGAGAGATTTCCTGAAATCGCGCGCGAGAATCTGCTGCTTATATTGCACCCTGAGAAGCGGCACTAATGCCTCGCTCAGCTCCATCAGCTCCTCCATGGCCTTCGGAGTGGTGTGCAGCCCGAACCGCCGAAGTAGTGGCGTGATGTCCGGGTGGTGTTCGTGTCTTCGCCCGGGTCGTAACGGGTCGATGAAGGGCAGCAAATCGTAATACACACTTGTAACTGGAGATCATCTAGTTAGTATCTCTCTACCTCTACCAATCGGGAAGACACGATACTCATGCATGATGAACTGCTCACATTGTCTGTCAGTCCATTCTTCATCTGGGGTTCGCAAGGCAGCAATCTCGTTCATTTTATGCAACAGGGTCTGCTCATCTCCGAAGGCAGCTCGCAATTTGAGATGGATGATATCTTGTCGATTGCGCGCATTCTCAACAGCTTGGATGAGTTCGGTAGAGGAGCTAAAGAAGTATCTCCATCTGCCTCGCTGCACGTGCTTCTCTTCAGCCGTATATAGATCCGCCAGCATGCTCTTCGCCTGACTCGATACCTCTAAAATAGCTTTCAACTCTTCTCGGCTCACTTTCCAAAGCGTTTGGAGCCTGTTTAACTCTGTAGGATCGTTCGACGAAGGCTTGGCCAAATCTCCGGGTCCAAATAGATCCATAAAACTGGCTTGGTATGAGTGTTTCACTGGATCCCGATTAAGGGGACGCGTTCGGATAACATAGCGCGGTCAGAGTCAAGTCAGAAATTATGGCAGGGGTAGATGATCACGCACGTGGTAGCTTTCTTGATGGATTTCTCGATTTCCAATCCCTAATCCTTTGAGAGACGTCAGAGACTTTGCCTTTGTTTGAGAATTTCTGCACAAAATTCTCTACCAGATTGATCGAGGTGCTTAGTGCCGTGTCATACTGGTGTTGATGCCTTTCTAGCTGATCCAGAAGCGTCATGGCCCATTTGGCCATCCTTTGAGAGGTACGAACTCGGGCTTTGGTGGTGACTGCCGCCTTGTTTTTCCCTTCTGTTCCAAAGGTGGATGTTCTAGCTAGTCGTGGGGAGAGTCCTGAGCTTTCGGCGTTCCCTTCCTTGTCAAAGATATCCCAATATCGCTTCTGTCCTGCTGGATGATCGAACGATTTATAGGCTTGGTAGGCTTCTCCATAGGTGTGTTGTAAATGGTCTATCTCTGAAAAGATGGCTACCTGATTGTACTTTTCAAGTCGGTTGAGAAAGTGTTTGGTGGATTTGATAAAACTCTTATAATATCTGTATTTGAATCTTGTGATCAGTAGTCTTAATTGCTTGATACCTTCTGGCCAATGCTCCAGGAACTCCCTTTGATTCCGATGGGCATCACTTGAGCTTTGTAGTTTGTTGAGGAAATTGTGAGAGGTGGCGGTAGAATGCTGCTGATGTTGGCTAGTGGACTCGACAGTTAGGTGATTGATTTTGGCGGTACTGGAGTAGCCCGAGTCGGTAGCGATGACCATAGCTTGGGGGAAAGAAGAGTCTGGCACGAATTGAGCGAGAGTGGATGAGGAAACTTGTTTCTTTTGGATATGAGTGAATAGGCAGGCTTGCAAGGCCAGACAGAGGTTAGCCAGTGAGAAGTATCCAATTAGACAGGATTGAATAGCCATGTCTTGCGGGTGAGATGGCGGTTAGTTGTTCTTGTACTAGTGATATGTATGACAAGAGCACTGCCTGAAAATGCAGCCATTCATGAGTGGTTTTTTTTTTCTTTGTTTTTTTTTCTTTTGTGTGTTGCTACAGCAGATAGAGAGAGATAGATTTAAAAATTAAGTGTTGAGTGTACCGGGACATGTTTCAGATGATGTGGATGATTAATTCTTCGGTGCTCTTCGCGTTTCCGGGACGAATAGGAAAAACTAGAATTGTTGATGGAAGATGCAGCTCGTATTAATGTCATGTACGCGCGACTGGACGCTGTCTTTTGACTACACCACAGAAGCGCACACACGGTTTTGAGAAACCAAATGGAAACATTTTCGTCCAAAACTTTAAAAATCTATGTGCGAGATCAAGAAAAACGTCTGACAGACATTTTCACAATCAAATCCAACGTTTGTTGTGCCGTTTTTGAGCCGGATGTCGCACACCGCCCATCATCCGGCCGCCTGCCCATCTTAGGACTCTGTCAGCAGCGCGGCCGAGCATCCACCAGCTGGAGGACCCTCTCAAAAACCCTCCTAACATTTTTTTCCTGTTCTCTATTCGTTGGCGGGGGTCACCATCGTCTTGGTCTTTTTGCCGC